AACTAGACTGAAGAACAAAACGACAGCAACTTGTCTGTTCCCCTTCCCCTAATTCCCCAGCACTGTTCCCATCCCCCCAATTACCCAATAAAAAAAATCTTTAAAAAATAAAAAATAAATAAAAATAAAAGAAAAGGGGTGATCCTACAGAGCCTCAGCACCTCATGCTCATGTGGCAAGCGCACGGGGCCTGGGGCACGGCCAAAAGAACAGTAAGTAAGTCACACTGGCAACTAACATCCCTCGGTCCACGGCAGTCCTTAGTTCTCCCCAGGCCAAAGCCAAGGTGGTTCAGTGCCTAGCAGGTGGCTTACAGGGTTCCGTGCAAAAAGGCCATTCATAACAGAACAGGCTCAGGTCTCCCCCGTAGATGGGCTAACATGGGGGACACAGGGATCAGCCCCAACATGAGCAAAGACAATCCAGTGGGGAAGTCTCTACACGACACAGAGACTGCAATCTGACCATGACACACTGCGTTTAAATCCCCTGGGCTCCATCAGACAAGTCACCAAACTATGATTTAACAGCCACCAACAGCTCAGATTACTCTAGTGATCCTCAAAGTGTAGCCCCAGCCAGCAACATCAGCAGCACCTGGAAACACCCCAGAGATGCAAGCTCGCAGGCCCTACCCCAGACCTACCAAAGCAAGCTATGGGGGTGAGGCCTAGCAATCCGTTTTCACACGCCCTTCAGGTTTTTCTGCTGCAGGCTAAAATCTGAGAATCACTGCTCTGATCCTGTCACAACGTGTGGTCCACAGACCAGCAGCACAGACATCACCCAGAAGCTTGTCAGAAACGCAGGTTCTCACATAGACCTGCTGATCCAGAATCTGTGTTTTAACTAAATCCCTACGTGATGCATACACAGACTGAAGTTTGAGAAGACTGCTCCAGCGTAGCATTCTCAACTCGGCTACACATTACAATCATCTGAGGAGCCTTTTTTAATAACCCCAATGCCGAGGCCCCACCCAGGAGCCATTAAATCAGACGCCTTGCAGGAGGCACCTGGATAATTCTAACGTGCTCTAAGCATTTGCCCTCTAGTGAATCAACTAGAATTGATATGTACCACACAGTGTTTTGCACTCCCTGGGCTATCAAATATTAGGTTGAATAGATGGAATAACTACAACTGAAAGCCCTGATACGAGAAACATAGAAAAACAGGCAACCTCAAGTTTTCTGTAGCAAAAACTGCCCAAACCAGAAGGTAGTCAATGTCACATCTAAACCAGATTAGACTCTTCAAGGAATTCATCATAACCACGTGTCGCGGAATCCCCTGCCACCTCAAAGTGTGGTCCCATGACCACCAGGATCACCTGGGAAGTTGGAAACCATCATGTCAGGCCCCACCCCACCCTTAGATCAGAATCTGTAATTTAACCACACCCCAGGTGATTTGCATGCGCGCTGAAGTCTGAGAAGCACCATTCTCTCTTCCCAAGACGGGGAGATGGCAGCCTCACTTACCCACAGCTGAGGCACAAGGAGGAGCAGGTGAAGTACTCATCTGGGAAAAAGGAGCTATGTGCCATCTGGTCATCGGGGATCTCACCGCTGAAGCGGTCACTCAGAGCCTGCGAGGAGGGAAGGTGACATGAAGGCACTCAGTAGAGGGCCCTGTGCTTCGGCCCTTCTGCTACCTGCCTTTCTAGGATCCCCTCACGGCTGGCTTATTTCTTACAGGCTCCAGAGAAGGAAGAGAGAACCCAATGGCTTCTGTTTCTTACCTTCTGCCTTCTTGGCCCAACTTGCACCCATCCTCACCACAGGAAACCTCAGAAAGAACCAGCCCACTTCCCAGCTGGTCAGAAGTAAGCCAAGTTACTGTTCTCTCCTAATTACCCTGGAGGAGATACACGCCTCACACAGTCAGTCTTTCATTCAAAGCCACCACAGAACCATCACTTCATCCTTGTGAAGACTCGAGCAAGAGGCTCACCTTTAAGTCAGAGGCAGACCTGAGCAGTGAGCTGGGAGGCTCCTGGGTTCTAGCCCAGCTCTAACGAGAGGCACGCATTTGGAGCTTATTAGGCCACTGAACCATCTCAACGTAAGAAAAAATGTCATCAGCCAAAAACAAGGAAGAATTATTGTAGTGTTTGGCAGCCTTTTATCAACTACCATAACCTAAAAGACAGCAAAGGGCCAGAATAAATGCCAAGAAGAAAGATAATGCATTTGCAGAGGCAAACTGAAATTTTTATGTTGAAAGGTACTTCCATTTCTAATACTCTGTTTTCACTCATTATACTGAAAGTATTTTTCAGGCTGATTTTTTTTTTTTTCCCCTGCCAGGCCCTCAGTCATGTGCAGTGGAAAACGTTACATAAATTAAACAGAAATGGGTTTTCAAGGCTTTAAAAATCATTACATGCACACAGATCCAGGCTTCTAACTTGCTTTTTTTTTTAGCTGAGCCATCCTGCCACATGTTGGCAGCTCAGCAGCTGCTCAGCTCGGGCCAGGACTTGAACCGCTGTTGCTCAGAGCTCAAACTCTTGAGCGAGCTCTTAACCAACTAAGCCACTTGGCTGGCCCCAGGCTTCTAACTTTCAATTTCCCATTCCGAGGCAGCAGGGCACTATTTATAGGAAGAGAAGGGAGAGTAGCCTGAAACAAAAGGACAAGATACTATCAATACTTCCTTTGGTAAAAAGGCAAAAGACATTTTAAGACGGGATGTGGAAAAGGGGCAGATTAGGTTTTAAACTAAGCTCCGCAAGCTCTGAAGGTAATTTCACTTAATGAGAGCTTCTCATTCAATTCCTTTTCCTTTTTTTCAATGAAGTCTTAATACCACGAGTAGCAAACTCAAGTGTTTACAAAGGCAAGCACTATCAGTCGTTAAGTCAGGTCAGGTGAAAGGCAAGAGTAGTGAGTGGCAAGAAATGTGTCCAACTCAGGGTGCACGACTCACGTAAGGGCATAAACTCAGCGTCTGCAAAGATGATGCACAGACAGGCCCATAAAACACCATCTGCCAGCGATGGCCGACCAGGTGGCCACCCCTGACTTAGACCAAAGGAAAACAAGGTCAGACAAATAATAACACATGTAAAAACTATTGTCTTGGGGGTAATTTTGTAAAGAGTGACTTAGGGAAAACGTTAAGATTTTGAAAGAGAATATAAATGAATACATGTATCAATATTAATAAGGATAAAGGAGAAGCAAGGCAAGTAGAATCACTCACTAGCCCACACCACCTTCCTCCTCTCTTCAATTTCTTAACGCGACCCATCCTTTGGGAATTTTTTTGGTCTGACCTCTTCCACAAAGCCTTCCCAACCACTCTAGACACACCATGCTCTGCCTTCTCTGAACACCTGTTGTTTTCAACACTGAACTAGGTATTGAGTAATTAGGCAATGCTGCAACGGGGCTGTTGCATGTATTTCACCTCCCAGGCTAGATCATAAACGCTGAGAAAGAAGTTTCCTACCTCTGTATCCTCCTGACTCCTAGCAAAGGTCCTAACGTACTCAACCAGGACCTGTGGAATGAAGTGTCCCGGCACCAACCCTCCACGCACGTACCAACCCCTGCCCTCCCCGCCTCACCCCTGGCTCTGCTTCTGAGCCAGGCTTCACGTAGGCCCACAGACCCTGTCAGATTTAAGGCTAACTGCCCAGTTGGCCTATTAGTGATAATTAAGTCTGTATTTCTCAAACAGGTGTATGTATAACTCTCTGGGTCTAGGTGGTGGGAAATAGAGCATTATCTTCCTAATACATCAATTTACTGAAAGATTTGGGGAGGAAGCCATTTTTATATAAAAAACAAACATGGATAGAGTATGAAACTAAATGGAAAATTTGCAGAAATTAAACATGAGGACCCGCGCCCCAGCCAAAGTCACTTCAGCTTGTAGCTGGCAGCTTCATACTCTGTGCCTCTATTTCCTTATCTATAAAATGGGGATGCTAGTACCTTCCTCAGTAGGGGTCTGCATGGATTACACTGAGAGGATCAAATGAAGTCACCCATGTAGAGCACCTGGCACAGGCTGAGAGCTCAGAAAACGTGAGCTGCCATCATTATCATTTTTATTGTTTTTTATGCTGAGAATTTTCTTCCTTCGATACCCTCACTATCTAATCCGGGTTAGCACAGGAGATATAAGAACCCCTCTCCTTTCCATGGCAGTTCATTAGTCTTCACAGCTGCTTGCACGTGAATACAGTCAGTCCTCACTTAACATCTTCAATAGGTTCTGCGACTTTAAGTGAAACGACATATAACAAAACGTATTTTAACACAGGTTAATTGATATAAACACGAGTTAACTTCCTACGGCATCTCATCAACATTATAATGAAATGACATGGAACAAAATGATGTTATTCCAGGACCTGCTGTATTTAGCTGCAAAAAGATGCTTGTGTATCTAATGAGGTGATAAAGTAAGGGAAAAAGAGATAATAGGAAAAAGAGATAACGAAGGAATGTAGACGTTATTAAGAGGTATAGGGGAAACCTCAAAGAAGAGCATTTTTAGTCCCAGAGATTTTCTTTTTAAACAGGTAACTAAAAGAACAACCTAAATACTATTTTGTCTTAGGAAAAGAAGTCATATTTAACATGAGTTCAACAGCTGGATTGAATTCAGGAGGCACACCACTCCCCAGGAAATAGAAAATTGCAGCCCAGAAATAGTAACAGCACAAAGTTCTTTCTGTTCCAAAACCCAAGTGGCCTGGTTCACTTCTCTGAAAGTTCTTCAGAAAAATGGCATTTCTAAGTATCTCAAGGCTTGGCATGAAACAATCTGCAGCCCGATTCCCTTGGTGCATATGCTTAAAGAACCTCTATCGCTGCCTGCCCTACACAAGTTAACTGTTGGCTTACGTTGGCCAAGGCAACAGTCACCTCTTATGACATCAGAAAGAGAACTCCTAGACTAACCAGCCGCATCACTTCGGATGCTGGTCACCCAACCTCTGAAATTCTGGGTCGCAACATAAAAACCGGGTCACTTCCCTCATAAGTCAGTGAAGAGCTGGCAGTTAGTAATGAGTCAAACCTTGACAAGCTTCATACGACTTACTTGTACGTGAATCGAGAGTAACTAATAAAAAAAAATCTGATGTTAGTGTTTTAGACACAAGGGTAAGGAGAAAACTGTCCTCCTTCCTCTAGAACCTGATTGTTCCTTTCCAGCGTAGACACTACCCCCTAATCCATACACTTTGTGTTTCAAAAATTCCAAACTTTACATCATTCCAGGGTTTCTTGGGCTCTCCTCCTCCTGAGGTCCCAAAGCTGCCAGAGAAAGGCAGGGAAGGACCTCTCCTGAAAAAGCTTGGGAAAGAATCTGAGGTAAGTCTGGAAAAGGTTGCCCGGAGACCAGGTGATCTTGAACTTTAGTTGTCTTGGCAACCGTATGGCTCTTTCTATTGAACCTGAAAGGTTCGCCCCAGTCATCAAGCACTAGTAGTGAATTTTCTGATTCAAAATGGAGGCTCTTATGTAATCAATGATGCCACCCCCCCAAAAATATATAACTTTATAAACACTTAACAGATGCTTCCTGATGTGATAGAATTGGAAAGTCAGAGTTTCTACATTTAGAGATCAGAGGCTAAAGAAGGTATTATGTAAAACCTATACAAATTCAACTTTAAAATGGCTCTCAGTTATTCAAAACTATATACACAGACAACAATAGTTAATTCAATATTCAACTCCCTTACTCAACAGGGATCTGAGCAGCTCTTTAAAGAGATTTACCTGCTCATGGAGGGAAAGCTCTGCTGGTAGGTGTCTGGGCTGTTGCTACTATGGAACCTGAGCAAAGGAGTGAGTGGTGAAGACGTGGGAAATAACCCAGCTGGAAAACAGGGCCTGGGGCCTGGACCACGATGTCGCTGAATGGCAGGAAGAGCTCAGGGCAGCAGGATTAATCGGGAAACATGGGCAAGCCACTAAAGCAGAAAGTGACTGCAGATCTCGAGCTCCATCTCTCTGTCACACACACACACATTCTTACAAACTCTTCAACCTTTCTCGTTAATCACATTGCCTGTTCAATAATGAATGTGAAAAGTAGCACTTGGGCTCCCTTTGAATCCAATAGTGCTACATCACTGAAGTGGAACCTCATTAATAAGATACAGCTAATTGGGCCGGCCAAGTGGCTCAATTGGTTAAGAGCGCGAGCTCTGAGCAACAGGGTCACCAGTTCAATTCCCACATGGGCCAGTGAGCTGTGCCCGAGCTGAGCTGCCAATAGGTGGCACCAATAGGTGGCAGGATGGCTCAACTAGTGAGAGCACGTGCTCCTAACAACAAGGTTGCCGGTGCGACTCCTGCATGGGATGGTGGGCTACGCCCACCCACAGCTAAGATTGAACACAGCACCTTGAGCTGTGCAGCCGTGAGCTGCCTACGGGCAGCCGGGTGGTGACTGGACTTGGAGCTGAGCTAGCTGC